GAGGATGGGGCTGAGAAGTAACCGGGCTCTGCAGGCTCCATTAAAGTGCTGGGTCATAAACCCAACGCAGTGGCTGTCGTTTATGTGTCAGCAAACACGTCGAGTGGGCTCGACTGTTGATTCTGACTGTATAAAAGAGTGTCGTGCCACTTGTTCAGGTTTGCGCAGGTTTTACAGCTCTTGTTCTGAGAAGTGCCCATGTATTTGGTTTTGCTCCTTCCTTCAGGTCTATCTGTTGACATTGGCGCTCTTAAACAGAGCGTTGGGCCCTGCCAGGAAGCTGAGTGTACAGCTCTCCCTGCGTTTCCCACTTTCCCAGGAGTTATCAGCTATAAAATCTTGCACACGCCCATGGCTGGGAGCAGGTTTCCTGTGCGAGGCGGGTGAAAGGTGCCTGTTGGCTCTCCGCTGGAGGGGTTCGGATGCCCCAGATTCGGTGGCAGGAGCACAGCTAGCTGCACTGAAGGACAAGTTTTGGGGTACATGGGCAGAGCCTTGGGGAAGGTGCTTTGGGGGATGCCACCCTGGCCAGCCTGGGCAGGGATGAGCAAGGCGAGGGGAGACCTGACAGATCATCCGTAGGGCCGTGATGAAAATCAGAGCAAACAGCCAGGGGACATGGAGGTACGAGGAGGAACAAGCTCTGCAGAGTGTCAGTAGCGAAGGAGATGATGCACGTGTGGTGACCCAAGGCACGAGGCTGGCGGTATCACCCAGCTCCCGGCTCTCTTCCTTCAGGTGCAGAGAGCCTGCAGCGGCTGGTCATGGAGCTGAGCTCAGGCCACTTGTGCAGTTTGCTGCATTCCAGGTATCAGAGTTGCCGGCAGGCGGTTTGGAGGCAGCTCATGCCCCTCGGCACGAAGGCGAGCCCCCCGAAAGCCTGCAGCAGTTACCATGCAAAGCTCCTGCAGCCTCCGGCCAGTCCTGCAGGCAGGTCCCAGCCCCTCACTGCACGGCTCTGCAAAGGCCCCGGTGACACTCGGGACGTTTTGGGCCTGTTTGCTTGTGAGCCGGCTGGGGAGAGGGGGAATCAACGGTGTTTGAACTGCAGCTGTCCCGGCCTGAGAGGCACCGTGTTATCAGCGGCTGTAAAGCACGGGTCCTTCCTGTGCCGTTTGCATACGTATCAGCAGATTAGCCCGAAGCAGGCACCGTCCAGCTTTATTTGCAAGGCCTGCGCGAAAACACCACCCTTACCCCACGCTGGCAGGGGAGGGGAGAAGGCCACCTCTAACCCTCTTCCCATGGTGGAGATGCCACCACGGGCTGAGCCTGCTGGGACATGGGGTTGCTGAGAGGGCTTGAGCCCAGGCTGAGCCGTCCCCAGCAGCCTCCCCTGCAGCTGGGCTCCTGGTACCCGCAGACGCAGCCAGAGTCCCTCTAGCGGCTACGGCATTTTTGGATAACAAGTCCAGTCCGAACATGCGACCTACAGCTCTTTGCAGTTCGTTCCCTGCGGGTGACTCAGCTGCTGGCGTCTTTCCATAGCTGGTAGCTCTGAACGAAGTTGCTTCTCTTTGGTCCAGACCAGGCCATTATTTTTTGAGACACATATTCCTTTCCTGAAGGGATTTGCTAGGTAATTTCTGTTGTGGATGCTCAGGCTGAAGCTTGGACACAAGCTGTTTCTGGGATTAATTCCTTCTGGGACCTTGCCTGGCTCGAAGGTCCTGGTGGTGCATTTGCCCAGTCCAGGTGAGCAGAGCTGTCAGATTTGGGTTTATGACACAGCCACTGACTTGAAATTTGCCTTCCGTGAATATGCTGCAACATTTGCCATTTCCACAAACATTTCTGCCAGGAAACTTATTTGCTTGAATATTTGAGGAAAGCAAACAGTAGGGAAGGAGCCTGAACACAGACAGTCATGTGCTTTTTTCGCGGTATTGGCCCAGTCCTACCTCCGACACCAGGCAGCGGAGGCACTGCCAGACATGCCCTCGGGCACCCGAGCGCCCG